ACAAACAATCTATTTTTCAACCAAAAAAAAAACGTAAGATTATATTTAAGAACAATCTGCTACAGCTTAGTATACTTAATACCTTCTATCATCCCTGCTTGACTACATCTTTCATTCAATTTAGAGTGACACAACTTGCTATAACCTTCACTATTAGCAAGATGCAATACAGGCCTTCTAGGTTGGTAGCAGCATTTTATTTTGTTTTTTCAGTTTGAATCTAGGGTATGAAACTTCATTATTTCTCAACCTTATAATACTATGATGGGTGGCTTTGTTTACTTATATACTTAAGTAAACAATAAGGTGTATATTAAAGCAAGCAATGAAAAACAGACTTGTAAACATTATCACTCAGCAAGCACTATTATGTAAACAACTTGCACTCGGTGTTTGAGAATTACAAGGTTTGGTATAAAGATGATATGTCATTTTTAAGTCTTAAAATTGCAATGTTATATATCACAACTAGCTACAATATATAATGTAATTTGAATACGTCATTTTTCCTGTTTGCCGTATGTATTCTGCTTGTGCTGCAGTTCTTTTCGCTTCTTTATATTTCATTAGCTTCCACTTCTGCACGTTTTTCTTCTGTTATTTGCCTTGCCACAACAATCTTTTTCTCTATTTTTGCATGTGTTTGCGCTCTCATTTACTTAACTTTGGCCTATATTACATATAGTTTCAATCAGCGTTCAAAACATATATGAATGGTAGCAGCATTTGCAAACAGTGAAAGTTGTAGCAAGTTGTGTTATTCTAAATTTAATGCAAGATGTAGTCAAGTAGAGATGGTAGAAGGTATTAAGTATACTAAGTTGTAGATGTTCTTAAATATAATTTTACGTGTTTTCTCTGTTGTAAAAGGGATGGTAGCAAGTCCCACATCTTTTTTCTTTTAAACAATATTGGTATTTATATAGGTCATATTATTTTTCCAAAAATTAGAAATATACTTAAGTGACTTGGATAAGGCCCATATATTTTAATTTTTAATTTCTATTAATTAATTTTTAAATAATTAATTTATTATATAGAAATATTAATTAAATAAAATTAACTATTTTAAAATATTAAATAATAAATCTTTCTAATCATTATTGTCATGTCATTAAAATGAATCTTATTATCCTAATCCTAGAGTCACATATTCAAAATTAGAGGAGGACCATGCGGATCTCAAGGGAAATAGAAAAAAAAAATTAATATTAAAATAGAATGATTAAAAGTTAAAAAAACATCGAATTAAAGAAATTAAAAATGCATTTGAACAAAAAGTTATAATTTGTACAACAAATAATTTCTTTTAAAAATATGATATTTTTTATAAAATATAATAATTATAGTTTCACAATGTAAATTCTTTTGCACGTCCAATTAAAACATGTCATATAAATATTAGTAAAAATATTTTAAAAACCAGTGACATTTTTATGGTTGGATATGTCAACGCATAATTATTAATTGAAAAATGTTATTCCTACACTAAAATATACCCTACACATTATTTTACGGTTTATCAATAAGATAAATAATAAAATAATCTTTTAAAATATATATATATATATATATATATATATATATATATATATATATATATATATATATATATATATATATATATATATATATATATATATATATATATATATATATATATATATATATATATATATATATATATATATATATATATATATATATATATATATATATATATATATTAATTTTTTTTATTTTAAATTAAGGAGTATTGTGTGATTAACCAACTTCTTAGCTTTATTAAGTAATATTTCACATTTTATTAATCAACTTTGTTTTACTACTAAAAATTATTTTTATATGTAGGCGTTTATTAATCAAATTTATAACTTTATTAACCAACTTTTTATATTTTATTAACTAACTTTATTTTACTATTAAAAATTATTTTTAATATATGAACGTTTATTAATCAACTTCATCATTTCATTAACAAATTTTTTATATTTTATTAATCAATTTTATTTTACTATAAAATATCACTATTCACACATTGTGCACTATTCATGCACTGCTCACGTACCGCTCATGTACGATTTCACTGTTCACTTTATTTGTGAGCAGTACCTATAGTGTAGTTGTAAGTGTTGGTGTAGAAATAACAATGCTCTTATTAATTTCTATTTTATACTATGGTATGTATTTTGATACTAAATACATAAATTTAAATTAAATAATTATAATTAGTACTATTAATGTATTTTATTTTATTTAATAAAAAATTGACTTATATTAAAATTAAAGGTAACAAAAAAGAATATATTTATGGGGACAAATTAAAAAGTGTAGGATATTTTTAAGCAAGATTTTTTTTCTCAGTGGCGGCTTGAGCCCCTTAGCATAGTACCTAGTACCTACATCCGCACTTGTAGCATGCTCCCTCCACCTTTAGCTATCATGTACGTACGAACCAATAACATCTGCTGCTTGTTGATAAAATTGTATAGATCAATTATTGTAGTTAAATTGTTCATGTTATCATAACTGATGTCAATTTAACTGCTAGAACAATACCACAAAACACTGTAATTATTTCGTAACATGAAAAAATAAAAAATAATAATAATTAGGACTCGTTTGGTTTAATTTTATAAAATTGTTTTTTGTTTCAAATTTAAAAATAATAAAACCTATTTAATAATATAATTTTATTAAATTACTTTAAAAAGTAATATTTAATTAAGAGTCTTAAAATAATAAAATAAAAAGAAACTATAGAATTATTTTTAATTTTTAATTTAAAAAAAAAAGGACCGTAATGTACTTTTTTATTCGTGTAAGTTGGAAAATTTTTATTTTTGATCTCAGTAAACTTTTTTTTTATTTGAGTTCTTATATTTTTTTGCATGAGTTTTAATTTATAAATCAAAATTTGTAGAAAAATTCATTAAAAAATTCGTAGAAAATCTGTTTTCTGAGATATAAAAATTTCAGGAACTAACAAATTATTTAAACTTATGAATAACAATTTTTTAAAAAATAATTTTAAATATAAATAAAAAACTATCTATAAATATTATATTTAATATTATTATTTTAAATATGTTTCTATTTTTTTATATTTCTATATTTGTAACAATTTATAAAATAAATATAGAGATAATATTAAAGAATGTATAAAAGTTAAATAGATTCAGATGTTTTTCTTAAAATAAGTTCTTTTCTTATTAATTTTATAAGTTTCGTGGGAGTAACTTTTATTAATGACAAATGAAAATTTTACCCCATACCTTATTATTTATTCCTCTAGCGTTACTTTCTGTATTTTTTGACCAAAATATCTTTATATAAATAAATATAAAATTTTTTTTATTTAATTATTTAATCTGAAATTTAATACAGAAATCTATCTTTAAACACTACTTGATTGATATGTTTAACAAACATGACAAGTATTATATACTTTCCGTAAAAGTATTATATAATTTTGTTTATAAAAATTTTAAACTTTAATTTTTTAAAAAATTTAATATTATAAAAAATGAAAAACAGATTATCCATATTTTTAAAAACTGATATTTTTATTAATTTCAATTTACTATCAAAAATATATTTTTTTTTTAATTCATATTTTATGTTTTTAGTTTTTTTTCAATGTGTTCCAATTTCAAATTACCTCATAGCTGATATCATGAGAAACTGTTAGTCAAAAATTATTCTATGTTTTTTATATCAGATTCTTTGAACCGTAATGTCATGGTTATTTTTATCATCTTTCTTCAAACAGGTTGGCTGGCTTATACTTGAAGTATTTAGAAAATAAGAAAAAGAAAAAAACTACTAGCTCAAAAATCGTGTTGTATATAGTTATTGCCATTCAAATCACATGCAAATATAAATTAGTATCCTTAACATCTTTTTACGAAAAATATATAATACTTTCCATATTTATTGAGAATATTAATTAAGTAGTGTTTAAAATTAGATTTATTTATTAAATTTTATATCAAATAATTAAATGAGAAAATTTTTATATTTTTTTATATGAGGATATTTTGATAAAAGAAAATATAAGATAAGGATAGAAGAATAAATGATGGATATGGGGTAAAATTTTCATGAAAATTTTATAACATAGTATAACTCTAAAGTTATTTTTAAAAATATAATTAAGAAGCATAATTTTTCTTTATTTTTTTAAAAATGAGTTTGAAAAATTAAAAATTAAAACTCATTCGACAAGTCATTAATGATTTGACTCTGGGTTATTGAACGCTGGTGAGGTTTATTCAAAATTTTCAAAAGTCTTATAAAAATTGTTTCATTTTATTTTGTTCATGTTTTGAAATAGATGTTCTCTTTTAAAATATTAATATAATATATTTTTTTTTCAATGCTATATTCATATTTATTAATATTTACATTTTTCAATTACTCCACTAACTAATAAATAAGAATATATTTGTAAAAAAATATCAATTTATCTTTAAAATCAACGTATTTAATATTTTTTTTAAGAACTCAAATGAGAGGGAGGTAGTACTATTGATCAATCATAGTTAAGTTGTTTATATTATCATAAATAATTGATGTCAAATTTCACCTTCACCAGTAAAACAGTATCGCAACAACCGAATTAACACAAGGTTGTGAATCTTATGATGCATAAGATTTTGTAATTGCAAAGGATTTTTTTTTGGGTTAATCCAGGTTCAAAATTCAAATTATGCAACCCTTGACATAGAAATAGGGATTTGTTGAATTTTAGCATTTTTCAAATCATTTACAATATCAAGTGATTAAAAAATATCCATTGATTCCCTGTACAGCTAGTTACAACTAATTTACAATATCAAAAGCCAAAACCATCACGGCTTTCTCTCCGAGTCAACTCAAAATCGTCATAATCCGAGTCAACTCAAAATCGTCCGATCTGATTCTGTCGATTCAAGTCAATTATCCGGCAGTCCGACTCCGGCGATGCAACGATTTCCGCTGAATTTGAGGCCAGTGCTTCAGGCTTGACCCCAGCAGTTCATGTACATCACTTTCCGGAGAGAATCGTCAGTTTGTCTCAGCCTCTCTTCCGCCTCAGAACTCACGGGTACGTCCGATACATCGACGCCGGCCAACGGCCGGAGATCCGACAAACTGTCAGCGGAGAAAGGACGAGTCCGATTTTGGCAAATAGATCCGAAAGCTGTTTTGCACTTATGGCCTGGATCAGTGTGGCCTTGCGCCACCGCCACGGTTGTTGCCACCCAAACACGGTTCAAGTAACTCATCTTTGTTTTTTTTTCTTTGGGAAATTTTTCTTTTTTTTTTCTTCAAAAGCTGTAAGAAAGGTGTAAGAAGATAAGTCGGAAAGAGGTATTTATAGAGAAAATGAGAGCCATTTATGTATTTTTTATTGGATAACTCAATAATGTTGTGGTGGGTGGGTTCCACTTCAACTGTCTTTTTAGGACCAAATATCTTTTTCTTCCTATCTTATATTTGAGATTTAATTTAGTATGTTAAGTTTTTAAAATATCATATTTTAATTACAAGTTTCATCTCTTCAATATTATTTTTCTTTTTTAAATTTCCTATTTTAAAAATAGATACCATATTATTTCAGGTTGTATTTTGATTTGATTTTGAATTAATATCAATATTCTCCTATAAATGGTAATAGCGATACGTCACTATCAAATTAGTATGTTTTGATTCATTTTAAATTTTTTAAATGTCAAATTAGTTTTTTCTATTGAGTTTAATAGTAGTTTGTAACACTCTTTTCTATCCCACAAATATTATGCCAAAATAATAGAATTTATCATAGTAAAATTTTAAACACCGTAAAAAATCACTTTAAACGGCGTACATTTCTCAATAAATTCAAATCAAGGTCAAGGTCAATACTCCGTAAGCAACGGGTTTTCTCAAAAGTGCTCAAATGAAAGCGGAACTCAAAAAAGTAAAAATCCAAAATTTTCCTTTTACCGCAAGGAAATAAACATAACAAAAATTCAATAAAATATTTTGACTCAAGGACCCCAACCCGATGTTACACTATCAGAGCAAGACCTTCTAAGTCAACTACAATGGCCAACGACGCAAAAACTTCAAAAGTCCTCAACGGCATCCACAGCTAAACCTGGTCTTCTGCACGTTACCCACGTGGAGGCAACACTCAAACAATCAGGGTGACTAAAACGATTCATAATTATCAATATAGGAATCAATATATAAAACAACGTCATTTTCATATTCAACATCATCATAATCATCAAGGAACATCAAAGGTCAAAACATTATAAATTACACCAAATTGTCACATAAATGAAAATGCAAAAAGACTCATGCATGTGGTACTAGTCATCACATCTCGATGGACATTGAACCATCAACCCTCCATAGATCCCCATCAATAGGATCGATTCTATACAAGAACCGGAGCACATCAAAATACTTCACATCCGCACAATGGGACTGAAGCCAAAGAAATCAAGGTCATGAACCGAAGTTCGGATGCACATGAATGCATGATGCACACGTCAATAATCATCCTCATAATAACATCATAGGTGCATCATCATTAATCAAAATTATTGTCATCAAAATCATCATAAATCATGTCATCATAGAACCATCAAAACTCGTGGAAATATCATCATAACTCACAATCATTACTCATAGGAATCATCATTATACAATCATGTATTAATCTCATCATAATCATAGTTATACTCAGGTAATTCATCATACAATCACGTATTTAATCTCATAAAAATATTAGAAAATCAATTATCTTATTTATACTATGTTATAACCTTGTTTATTAGCTTTCCAACGCTTTGAACGGGGGCCAAAACGGACTTACAAATAAAAAGTTATGTCCAAAACGATTTCGACTGAAAACATGAACAGTCGTGACGGACATCGTGTATAATTTTATGCGTTTTTTTTACCGTTAGAGACCTTTCGGATCTCCGATTTCAATCCCGTAAAAACCTAAACTCTCAAAAAATTACAATCCATCCAATACTATAATTAATTCAAGTAAGTCTACAATTTTAACACAATTAAACCATTACAATTACCCACATTTACAAGGTTCTCATAAATTCCTTTACTTTACGGGGTTAAACAAATGTCAAATCAGATATTTGGCCACAAAGCCCTAATTTCCTTTAACATAAATCAACCTCGAATCTAAGGCCATCAGTTCAAAACTCTTAAGACTCTTACACCTTAGAAAGGCAACAATAATACAAATGCTCACAAAACCTTCTACCCTTAAACCCTTAAATCGGCTTTAAATACATTGAAGTCACAATTGAAAACAATGAAGACAATACTCCTCATACCTTAAATGCCGACTCTAAGCCTTTCTCCTTGATTCTTGGAAACCTCACGAAGCTTTTGCCTTAATCTTCTTCCTCAGAGCTCTGACCTCTATTTCTTCCATTTTCACGGTCTAACAAGAATGAATCTTAATTCCCTCAAAATTCCTTTTTGTTAAACCTAACTTTGGGCCTATAAATTGGGCTTTTCCAATATTACCCTCATTAACTCCTCCTTAATTGTCATATTTTCTCTTAGTTAACTTATATTTATTTAAATTAATAATAATACCAATATATTCATATTATATACTATTATTTAAATAAATAACCTAAAATCCATAATTCTCAATATTTCACACCAACCACCGAAAATCACCAAAAATAAGAATATTTATATTTAAATAAATTAAATAAATATTCCAATAAATTTGGGGTGTTACAACTCTCCCCCACTTAAAATAATTTTTGCCCTCGAAAATTACGTCAAGAAAACAGAGTCGGATACGACTCCCTCATCTGATCCTCACGCTCCCAAGTCCAACTTTCTCCAGCTGGTCCTCCCAAAACTACCTTTACCAAGGAAATTTCTTTATCTTGTCGTTGCTTCACTTCTCGTTTATCAATCCATACTGACAATGTCTCAACAGTCAAATTATCTCTCACTTGTACATCATCCATCTGAATCACATGTGACGGATCTGGAATGTACTTCCTCAACTGAGACACGTGAAACACATCATGTAAATTCGCAAGCGACGGCGGTAAAGCAATCCGACATGCTACTTCTCCCATGCTTTCGCTACGCCACTCTGATACAGACCAACAAAATGCGGTGTGAGCTTTCTGGACTTCAAAGCTCGGCCAACACCATTTACCGACGCAACTCTTAAAAACACGTGATCTCCTTCATGGAACTCAAGTGATTTCCTTCTCTTATCACGGTAACTCTTCTGACGACTCTGCGACGCTTTCATTTTTTCTTGGATTATCTTGATCTTTTCAGTCGTCTCTTGCATAATCTTAAGTCCGAGTACAACACTCTCGCCTGATTCATACCAACATAAAGGAGTCCTACATCTTCTACCATATAATGCCTCATATGGTGCCATTCCGATACTAGAATGATAATTGTTGTTGTAGGTAAACTCAATCAACGACAAATGACTATCTCATGATCCACCTTGATTCAATACAGAAGCTCTCAATGAATCCTCTAAAGACTAGATAGTTCTCTCTGTCTGTCCATCCGTCTACGGATGATAGGCAGAACTCAACCTCAGCTTAGTATCCAAAGTTGTCTCCAAACTCTCCCAGAACCTCGATGTGAATCTCTGATCTCTATCAGACATAATACTTGAAGGAATACTACATTTTCATAATCTCATCAATATACAATTCAGCCAGCTTCTGCAGCGAATAATTGATCGTTATCGGTATGAAATGATATGATTTGTTCAATCTATCGACAATCACCTAAATTGAATCATATCCCTTCAACGTCTTCGGTAGACCTGTCACAAAATCCATAGAAATTCTATCCCATTTCCACTCTGGAATATTCAATAGTTGCATCAGACCTGTAGATGCTTTTGATTGGCTGCATTTTATGGCAAAACATTAATGAATGTATGAATGTCATGATTGATGTTATGACATACATAATGAGGATTCAGTAGGGTAAGTTTAAATAGCTAAGAGTCACTTAAGTTGGATGTCATGACTGAATGTTATGACATCAAGTGTATGACATCAGGGCGCGCAGGTTTTAGTTTTCTATTATTAGCTCAGGCTATACTTCAGGAAACATTCTAGGAAGCCTAGTTATCTCAGGCGACATGTTAGGCATGGCTGAGGATAACATAGAAGACCCCTGACCTAATTGGAAAGGCTCAACTTAATGAAGAGAGGTTTATCTTGGGTAAACCTAATTTCTCCATCAAGGCCCAAAGCAAGTCTGCTGCTATAAATAACAAAAGGATCATTCCTAATAGCACAGAGCTTCTGGAGAGAGATTGGAGAGTGTGTTTTGTGAGTGAAGAATTCTGATTGTATCAGTTGTTCTTCACGTGTGTATTGTATCTTAGGATACTTGTATGCCAAGCAATTGTCTGCTGCATGATTGCTTTGGTTTAGTGTTTGTGAAATATTTGTTTAGTGTGTCACTCTAAGCTTTTAAGCAAGAGAGTTGTATCACTTGATCAAAGTTGTGAAGCAAGATCAAGGGATGTTTGAAGTGTGACTTCATTGTCTTTTGTAACTTTGAATTGGGTAATATCACTGTTGTGATTGAGGGGGAGTGAGTGGGAAACTCTGGTATAGTATTAGGCTGAAGTGTCATTGGGTAGGTCTTAAGTGAAGAGTGCAAACTGGTTATTTGACTCTGAATTAATTCTACTAATAGTGAATATCCTCCCTGGCTTGGTAGCCCCCAGATGTAGGTGTGGTTGGCACTGAACTGGGTAAACAATTACTTGTGTTATTTACTGTTTTTATTTACATCTTGTTATTAAGTTCAGTAGTCAGTGTTACAGTGGATGTCATAACATCCGTGATAACATTCATTGTTAGGTACATAGAATTTCAATTGGCATCAGAGCAGGCACCCTACCTGTTATTTTCTGGGTGAGATCTATAACGCCCCGATTTCGATGATCCCTTTTTCGTTAAGTCCTTTTTCATTTTAATTGGGCGAATATTATTTTGATGTGGAATATTCGTGGAAATATGTTATGTTTACATATTGTTCTATTTTACCCGATTTTGAGAGTTTTCGGAGAAAATAGTTGGAGGGTATTTTGGACATTTCCTATTTAATGATAAGTTGGATATTTTATGAGATATTGAGTTAGTAGATGTTTTGGGAAAAAAGAATAGGAAGATATTAAAGAGGAAATAGAAGAGAAAGAAAGATAGTAAGAAAGGAAGGAAAGAAAAGAGAAAGAAAGAAGGAGAAG